GAATAAATAAAACGTAAAAATACGTGAATAAATAAAACGTAAAAATACGTGAAGAAAAAAAACGAACCCCACGAGACGGCGACAGTGAAGCGTGCCCGGAGATCCAGGTGAGTAATGACAGGTGCGAGATAATTGTTAGGTGTGAGATAATGACAAGTGAGGTATTGATTACAATAGATATGGCAGCTAATATATATATATATATATATATAGTATAATATATATAGTATATATATATATATATATATATATTATATATATTATATATATATATGTAGCTGCTCTGTAGTTATAGGTAGATATCGTAGCAGTGTCAAAGTCACTGTGACACGGCTACAGGCTGTGACGTGTCGTACAAGAGATTACATAATGGCACTGACCTGCATGGTCCTAGTTCGAAAAAACAACGACCGACCGTCGAAACACAGACGAGTCGTCGGCAGCCGACGAGGACAGCGAGTCCGGTGACAGTGTAATGAGTATTAATATAGAAACGTCGTCTGCGGACTCGGTGTGTGGCGAGCACGATTGAATTGAACATTAACGGACGGCCGATCACAGCGAGCGTTCAAACGACCAATCACGTGGCACTAAACGCGTGTCGATGATCACGTACGACTAATAAAATCGCGGAGAGTTTATCCGCGCGCGCCGTAAAAACTTTAGAGGGCGTATAAATTATATAAATTTTTAGCGTATAAGTTTAAGAGATAGTTCAGTGCCGGGCGCACTACCTGTCGGAAATCTACGATGAAAAATGAAGAGAATGAAGACAGGTACAGAGAGTAGACGGATATATCGTAGAAGAGAACAGTAGATAGATAGGATAGAAGATGATATGGATGGATCGATGGATGGATGGATGGATGGATGGATGGATGGATGGGATGGACCTGGATGATGATTGGATGGATGGATGGATAGAATGATTGGATGGACTGGATGGATGGATGAATGGATGGATGGATGAATGGATGGATGGACGGACAGGACGGACCAACGGACGGACGGACTTCACGTATTTTTACGTTTTATTTATTCACGTATTTTTACGTTTTATTTATTCACGTATTTTTACGTATTTTTACGTTTTATTTATTCACGTATTTTTACGTTTGATTTAATCACGTATTTTTACGTTTGATTTAATCACGTATTTCTACGTTTTATTTATTCACGTATTTTTACGTTTTATTTAATCACGTATTTTTAGGTTTTATTTATCTCGCTATACACGAATTATGTAGTATAACGTTTTCACGTATTCACGTAACGCACTCGTTTCCCCCGCCCGCCGCCAGATGGCGTCGCGGGATGGGAAGGTTGTGGATTAACTGAGAACCACGTAATCGAACTATGCGTACAGATATCGATAATTCGGGTAGGTCGCTGTCAGGGAAAAAAACGAAAGTGCGATGTCAGAGCAACGTGCATTGAACCGGCAAAATATTTGTTAGCGAAGCCGATAGTGTCTCTGCACTCGCGAGTGCGGACGACCTTTGCCAAAATCCGTATCACCCGTGCCAACCTATTCCCCCCCCCCTCCCCCAAAACACACCCTTCCTAAAACACACACACACACCGCCGCCGCCGCCGCGCCCTGCTTTTAAACCTGGCAACGGTTTCGAGCTTACGTCGGCGGGGGGGGGGCGCACGTGTCGCGCACGTGACGTCGCGGTCGCAAAGGTCGACGTCGTCATCGAACTAGTGGCGCTGTCGTCGGGTTGTGTGCTGATAGGAAAACGCGGTGCGCGGTTATCGTGAGGGGCGTCGCCTATGCGTATTTACACAATCTATATATATACACCTTCCCCCCACACACATACATATATCTATCTATCTATCTATCTATCTATCTATCTATCTATCTATCTATCTATCAATCAATCTATCTATCTATCTATCTATCTATCTATCTATCTATATTTATACATGTATATACATATACGTGTATATATATATATATATATTATATATATATACTATCAATATATATATATTCGTATGTTAATTATGGATGTTTACATGTATGCTAGTGCACTTTTGTCACTTCCGTGGCGTCCGATCAGAGCGCATACGTATAGGACTAGTATATGCGTTTGATAAGCGAAGCTTTTCGTACGTCAGGCGGCAACTCACACTACCCACTGACATCCGTGTTGCGCGACCAGTGCCCGTTGCAATTGTCCTGCATCGTCAGCGTGCATCCATTCAGCTGATCATCATCGTCGTTGTCGTTGTTGTTGTGTTGTTGTTGTTGTTCCGCCGTGTCGCTTGGGCACGAACAAAACTACTACAGCCGTGCGCTGCGTCCGTCAGCGCGGCGTGCCGTGAAGGGTGGGTGTTGTAGCGATGAAAGAGTTTTCCGAGCGCACGCGCGCGTAACGCATGGTGGTCGTTTGATCGCGCTTGCTAGCGTACACGAGCACATCGAAGACTTGTTCAGTATTGAGGGAAGCGCAGGCTTGCTTCGCTCTTCGTGCTGCCGCGTGGCGAATATCTCGTCTTCTCGCAGAGCAAGAACAGACAGTGCGAGAGAGGAGAGAAGCGCGCTGAGAGAGAGCAAAGAGAGGTGAGAGGAAAAGTTGGCCGAGAGGATGAGAGAAGAGAGTAGTGGTGAGAGAGAGAGAGTGGGCGGGAGAGAGAGAGAGAGAGAGCAGACGAGAGAGAGAGAGAGCAGAGAGAGAGAGAAAGAAGTGAGAGAGTGAGAGAGTTGCGAATAGGCGAGTGTGGGCGAAAAAGGAGAGAGAGAGAGTGTGAGTAAGAGAAAGATGGTTGGAAGAGAGAGATCTGTGGTGGAGAAGGCGAGATGTATGTGTGTGTGCGTTGCCGTGACGTGCGTTGGTGCGCGCGCCGTGTGTGTGTGTGTTTGTGTGTGTGGTGTGTGTGTGTTCATGTATACGCGCGCGAACCGCAGGCGCGGTGTGTGTGTGTGTTATGTGCAGCGCGGGTCGTGTGCGTGCTGTTGGGAGGTCGAGGAGAGAAGGAGAGAGATCGGTCGGCAAGCAGCTTGCCCGGGCGCGCGTCTACACTAACAGGCCATTAGCGTTGCTCAGACGCTGAGACGCCCGGATGCGGGGGATGCTGGAGGATGCTGAGAAGCCAAGTTAATTAGTAACGCGTCGGTTTGCATCACAGCGCGCCTTGCTAAACTTCTTCTCTTCTTTTTTTCAATCTTCTTACTTCGTCCTCCGTCCTCGTCGCTTTCTCCTGCCTCTCTGGCAGAGTCAGTCTCCATCGCAGTGCACTCGAGAAAAACGAACGACGCGAGCCCAGAATGAACAGCTGCCTGGCAGACCTCAGCAAAATTGATCCCGACCACCTACCTGAGAAAGGTATTCGCCGCCGCGCGCGAGAGAGAGGAGAGAGAGAGTATGAGAGAGAGAGAGAAGAAGAGATGAGCAGAGAGAGAGAGAGAGGCAGAGGTTGCGCTGAGGAGAGAGAGGGAGAGTAAGGAGAGGAAGGCGCGCGCGCAGATAGAAGACGAGATGAGAGGAGGAGAGGCAAGTAGAGGGCGCGTGGAGAGTGAGAGGAGTGCAGGAGAGAGGAGAGGAGAGGGCGTGCGCGCAGCGAGAATAATAGAATAGAGGAGAGAGAGAGAGAGAGAGAGAGAGAGAGAAGAGAGAGATGAGAGAGAGAGAGGAGGGCGCGTGAGGAGAGAGGTCGCGTGAGTGAGAGAGAGGAGAAGGAGGAGTAGAGAGAGAGGAGGGGCGCGCGAGATAGAGAGAGAGAGAGAGAGATAGAGAGCCAAAGAGAGAGAGCGAGGACGGAGCGCGTGAGGAGAAAGAGAGGGAGAGGAGGCAGAGAGAGAGGAAGAGCGGTGGCGCCGGATGAGAGAGAGAGAGAGAGAGAGAGAGAGAGGAGAGAGAGAGAGAGAACGAGAGAGGAGCAGAGAGAGAGAGACGAGAGAGAGAGAGAGAGGAGAGTGGCTCGAATGCCCCAAAATCTATGATATACATAATTATAGCGTCTGACATTATGTTTCGTCATAGTAATCTGAATTATATTGGCTCTTTTCATATATATATGATTATATATATTCCTTAGTGATATTTAAATGGCCTCCCGGTCGTCGTGTCACATCATTTTTTATTCATCCCACTCACCTCGGCATCCTCACCTCACTCATCCTGCATCGTCCTCACGTCATCTCACTCCTCACTCTACTCGAGCTCACTCACGAATTCACTCACTCCTCACTCACTCACTCACTCACTTCTCACTCACCAGTCACTCACTCACTCACTCACTTCACTCATCACTCACTACACTCACTCACTCACTCACACTTTCTTCTCTCGTGTTTGCAGAACAGAGGCAGAGTCGAAAAGACCGAAATCATCGAGATGGCCATACGCCACATCAAGTCGCTCTCTGACAGAAACAAGAGATCAGGTAAACACGCCCTCTGGCGTCTCCATATCCCCGTGCACGGGACGCGACACGACACAACGGTACAGCGACACGGCACGATCACGACACCGCACACGACACGACACGGCGCGACGCGACGCGACACGACACGACACGACACGGCACGACACGACACGACACGACACGACACGATACAACACGACAGCGGACAGCGAGTGTGCGATTCTTGCCCCCCCCCTATGATGATGCGCTGAAGAAGGCTTAGCAAGAAGGTTTGCAGAGGCGTACAGCAGTAGTCAGGGTACAGGGTTCGAGACGTGTACTTAGAGAGTATAGAGTTAGAGGTGCAGGCGAAGCAGAGAGATGCTCGGTTGCTGTCCTGAGTGCTTGCGACCAGACGATCATTATGGTTGGTACGAAAAGCTGGGCGGGGGAAAAACATTTCCTTGGCACGGTGCCAAACACTTGCTGGGCCATAAGCACACGAGCCAGGCCACTGTTGACATACATGGAGTGACTTTTGGAGTCAGCATCGAGCAATGACGTGGAACACGCGATTTTTACGGGTCATAGGTTACGCTAAAGAAGTGCACGTTGGAGGCCATAGCGAAATGAACTGAAAATTCACTAAAAAATGGGTTTAATTAGTTAAATTTCATGAAAAATACATTTTAATTTTGTTAATTAAACCTTAATTTCGTTTGAATGTTTTTTTGTTTAATAAACAAATTCTACATGTGATGTAATAAAATGACGAGTTGCCGCGATCACTTGTTATCGGTGCGCGTAAGAGCCGCTAGAGGACGCACGGATCGCGACTCGCGTACGGTTGTAAAACTCGGTCGCGGGTTCAGCAACATTCTGGCGGCGTGCCAGCTATTTACTCGCCCCTGTCCAAACAACAGAATTATAGCCGACGTCGGCGAACATTTTCGGATAGCGCGTTTGAAAGGTTTTTGGTGGTGGGCGGTGGACCGTGTTGGTAAACGACGCGTGCGTACGAACCGAGTCACGATCCGACTCATGGCCGTAGAAGTACAAGTAAATAGAAAACACCCGATGATGCCAAAGTGCAAGCCCTCGCACTGGCGTTCGCGCGCGCGCTCTCTCTCTCTCTCCCGTACTCTCTCTATCCGGTTCAACCAATATGATGATGACGAAACGTCGGTTTGCTGGACGTAAGTATAACTGAGAGAGAGAGAGAGAGAGAAGGGAAAGGCGAGAGCGAGAGGAAGAGAGCGTTAGAGAGAGCTAGAGCGTGCGAGAGAGAGGGAGCGCGCGAACGAGTGAAAGAGACCAAGAGAACAAGCAAGAGCGAGAGAGAGTGTGTGAGAAAGAGAGCGCGAGAGAGGGAGAAAGGCAGAGAGTGTGCGTGAGAGAGAGAGAGAGAGAGAGAGAGAGACAGAGAGCTCACGTACGTGCACTCTACGCCCAAAGCTTGCATCGTTCCTCGTCCGTGCATCGGCTACTGTTGTCCTGTTGCCGACCGGCGACCCGTGACACACAGCAGACGATCTAGTGTCGCGTGGCATTAATTGTGGTTCGACCTTTGACCCGTGAACTGTGGTGTCGTACGAGGATAGGCATCTGAGAGTCCCTCTGGATGACATCAACACTGATGTTGAGACGTAGGCATTTGTTTACCTTGGCATACGTGTGTCTGTGCATGCACGCACCAACACGCACACACACACACACACTACAAGACACCACACAGCACAGAACATCAACTCACACAGACACGGCACGTCACGGCACGCACGCACGCACCACACAGCACGACGCACAACACGGCACTAGGCACAGTCCGCCACTCACGAGATTCACAAACACTACACACCGCACACAGCACACACACGCCACACACACACATGATTTGACACACGCAGACTCACACACGGTCCTCGTTCACAGCCGCCATGGCCGCCATGTTCGCGTCCTCGCCGCTCACTCACTCTCGCCGCTTCTCTTCGCCCGCAGGTTACACGATCGGCCCGCTGGGCTGGAACGGTGGCGCCCTCCAGCAGCTCGACCTGATCGACGGCGCCGCCGACCACAAGGGGGAGCTGGAGTCGTTCGCGCCGTCGCAGGCCGCTACGCCGTCGCCGCAGCCGCCGCCGGCGCACGCCGCGCCGATGGCGACCTCTATATCGCAGGTGCTGCAGCAGTCGATGGGAATCGAGCCGAAGAATTTCCAGCCGCCCGACAACGGACTAGTGCTGCACCCTAAGGGCAGCGGTGGCGGCGGCGGCGGAATTCTCCAGCGCGATGCGCGATACAGCTTCGACCTTCTCACTCAGGTTAGAGAGAGGTCTCAGTCGCCGCCGACGGCGACCGCCGCACCGGCGCCCCCTATGCTCTACTCGCCGACGGCGACCGCCGCACCGGCGCCCCCTATGCTCTACTCGCCGACGGCGACCGAGACGAGCGACGCGGACGAGCGCAGCCGGGACTCCGCCAGGCGGCGCAGCGGGTCGGCGTCGCCGAAGAGCGACCGCACGGTGTCGCCCCCCTGCATGCTGCCGGCGAAGCACAACCTGCTGCAGCGTTACCATGCCGACGTGCTCAAGGAGAGCGAGCGAGCGAGCCGCCGCGCCGCCGCCGCCGTCAGCGGCGCCCCCTTGCCGTCGTCGCCGTCTGAGCGATCTAGTCCCGAGCGCGGCGTCGCCGCCGGCGCCCCCGCGCCGGCCGTCTCCATCAAGCGCGAGTTCGACTACCGCGACGACGGCGTCGGCGGAAACAAGCGCGCATGCCGCGGCGCCGACGCGCCCGACTGCGGCGCCCCCTACGCCGCCGCAGCGGGCAATGGGCTGCGCGCGGCGAGCGGCGGGCGTGCGACGCCCGAGAGCTCGGTCGACGCGGCGGAGCACGGCGGCGACGGCGGCGCCACCTACCTGCCGGCGTTCGTCATGCACCCGTCGGGCAACTACTACGTGCCGCTGCCCGTCGCCCATGACGCAGTCGTTGCCGCGCTGCAGGCGGGCGCCGACAAGTTCGCCGTCACCTACCCAATCAGCATCAACGTGAAGATCGGCACGCCGGCGCCACCTCTCGGCGGCCTCGCGAACTCTTCCGCTGCGGCGGCGGCGGCGGCGGCCGACAGGGGGCGCCACGGCGGCCCACGGTGCTTCGGAGAGAGGACGCACGACGGGTTGTAATGACCGGAGTGTCGTCACCGCCACGGGGCGCGCGTCGCCGGTGGGTCCTCGCCAGGGGGCGCCGCACACGCGAGGTCGGCTCCGCGAGGCGCGGCGGTCGGAACGATAGCAATAAAACTTTCGCTGAGTGCTCTTCTCGCCAACAGGGTGCGCGCGCGTGCCGGCTATCGGCTGTCGCCGCGGAACAGGGGCCTCAGGGGATACTGCCTCTGGTAGTGTTTTTTAACGGTGAAATAAGGATGTCGTGACCTTTTCTTCGCGGGTATCCCCCCCTCCCCCTTCCTTTCCCTTAACTGCCTCCGCCCTCTTCCCCCCCTCCCCCTTCCTTTCCCTTAACTGCCTCCGCCCTCTCTCTATCGCCGTACGTTAAGTCGTATCTCTCGCCCACTCGTCCGTCCCCCCAACCGCCGCGTGCACGTGATCTGCAGATAATAGATGATATGGCCACTCGCCAGGAAAGATTTTGTTTCTCTGTGTGCTCCTCGCGTTCGTGCAACGCGAGTGCGTGCGCGTGCGAACGCCTGCATTTGGTACCTGTCGCGGCACGCGCGGACGGACACGGATGTGCTTGCTGCTCCCACGCGCACGCACGCACGCACGCTCGCTCGCTCGCTCGCACGCAGTCACGCACGACGACATATGGCGTTGCGCAGCCGTGTCTCAAGTTGGTGTTAGCTTAGACCGTAGACAGGATAAGATGGCACGGGTAAGATCGTCCTCTAACGCCGCAAGGACAACCCCGCTGTTGTAGCGGAGATAGTGACGTACGGACGCCGTCGCCACCCCAGACGACATCGTCCATCTTGGTTATTACTTTTTTTTTTAACGTAGAACGCTTTTTTTCGGTAGTCATTACCACCCTGCCGCCACGCTAAAATACACTTGTAAATACACCCGTTTCGCTGTCGTAGGTAGGCGAATTTTGTTCGTCGTTTTTTTTTGTCGTCGTCATAAATTGTCGTCGTTTTTTGTTCTTTCAAGAATTGGAGACACGCTTCGCGCTTTTGTTTCTCGTTGTACAGTGTCGGGAGAAAAAACATTCCCGCGGCGCGCGCATGCGCAGTGTCCGCGCAGTCTCCGCTCGGCGCCGTCCGCTAGCGTTGGACCGACGCTCGGGGGGTCGCAGGAAGACCGGGGTACGAAGATAATATATGTATATTGGCAAGAGTAGATAATATAACCTACTTATAACTTAACATAGTTATTATCTACTCTTGATATTGGTGATGCGTCGGCCAAATGCCACGCAGTCAGTCAGTGTCTATATCAGTCAGCGCTCGGTTCGTTATTACGAAATAAATAACATTGTCATATCACTAACCGCTGTGTTCGCTTTTCGGTTTGCGTCGATGCAGCGTTGATAATAGCAACTCGATCGTTTAGTCGTGCTGTTCATTATTCATTATGAATGTGCTCATTTCATTCAGGGGTTCCTCTCTCTCTCTCTGTCTCTCACTCACTCTCTCCCACTCTCTCTCCCTTCCCCCTCCTGCGGCCGCTCTTCTATTGTCTCATCCTGCTCTCACCACTCATCGTCTCCTCCCCCTCCCTCCGCGTACGCTCTTTCTCTTCTCTCAAAATCTCCCACAGTCGAATCTCCTGTCTCTTCTCTCACTCTCTATCCCCTCTATTCCTCCCCACATCTTTTTCTTTCTCCCCGAAGGCCCGCCCCACTCTCTCGCCGCCAGCTCCCTTTCCTCCTCTTTCCTCTCTCTCTCCTCTCTCTCTTGCTTTCTCTCACACCCCCATCCCTCCTCCCCCCCCTCTCTCTCGCGCGTTTTTGTTCAGTTTTCAAATCTAAAATGAGATGTCGACGTTTTTTTGATCGCATGACGCGTTGTCGCGGTCGTGCGGCGCCCGTCGTCGTCATCCCGTCAAGGAACATCGAATTGTCGCGTTTATCCATCTAACGTGTAAAACCAAAAAAACAACTCAGCATTTTTTCGCAATGTCGCATGCAGCTGACGGACTACTGCTGAGGAGGGAGGTTCTGTCTGCGCTTCGGTTAAATGCTTATTATTATATATATATATATATACCAAATTTATATTAGCTTCTGATAAATATGTATTGGCAGCTGTGCGGAAGTCATCGACTTAGATGAGCGCGCCTATAAGATTCCTTCAGAAGAGAAGAGAACAAAAGCCGGCCACTGTCGCTTCGCGCGGCGGCGTATTCTCATCGTTTTCTCACGCTTCTCTAGATCTCCGTTCCTTGACGTCAAATGAATCTAATACAAACACAGCCATACAAAGCCTTCTGCCCTCATCACACCGCTTACTCTCGCTATTTGGAATGCTTGTCCGTGCGTGTTACTATCCTCTCCCACCCTTCTATCATTTATCTCTCTCGCCATCTCTCTCTCTCTCTTCTCGTCTCTCTCTCGTCATTCTTTTCTCTCTCTATCTCTCTATCTCTTCTCTCTATCATTTCCCTCTCTCCCCGTCATCCTCTCGTCTCTCTCTCTCCCCTCTCTCTCTTTCGTCTTTCTTTCTCATCGACTTACTGCTCTCTCTCTCGTTCCTCTCTCTCTTGTCTCATTCTCTTCTCTTCGTCTTCAGCGAGTGCGCGCCTCATCGTCTTTCTCTTTCTCTCTCGAGCTCTCTCATCTCTCCTCTCTCTCCGCTCTCTGTCTTTCTCTCTCAGTTCTCTTTTCTCATCTCTACTCCTTCTCTCTCTCTCTCACTCTTCTTCTCTCTTCTTCTCTCTTCTATTCTTCTTCTCTCTCTCTCTCTCTCGCTCGTTCCTCTCTACCCTGTCTGGCACTGTCTTTCTCGCTCCTATCTCTCTCTCTGTTTCTCTCCCACTTTCTCAACAAATAACCTGGATATGACGGCTGAGACGATGAGACGATCTCCCACGTACCCATGGGAAGCAAGGTCGGAAAGAGCATAAATTCTCAAGGGGAATATGCCTACAGGTCAATATAGGGGACATTTAATAGAAGCCATGCACTCTTAGGTTATTAAAGAATCTGAGATATCTCACATCCTCCGCAAGTGTATTATCGCAAAGTATTTCCATTTTTATTATGGCATAATATCAGCAAATAGCATTTCTTTAACATATGCCCGCCATACCGAACACTTCTTAATCCTAATATTACTGTGTAATAACGTGAAAATTCGTGTGATATAATAACGCCGGGGCCACATTATCACAGCAATATAAGCGAAGGACAATTATATATTCGCCAACTATTGCTGTTTTAAGTGTTAAAAGTTTACTAGACCAAGGATATCATTATAGAGATCTTTGGAGAATATTTTGATTTAATTTTCATATTGTAAAAGCTAGCTGCCGGATGAGTATATCGCTATATTTTAAAGAAGAGTAATTTTAGCAAATATCACTATTTATCGCTTATTAAAATTCATTGTTACTTCAGCCAGAGCACACAACCCCCTATCGTTATTTAAAGAGAGGCATCCGGATTTATTTTTTACTCATAGCTACTGCGCGAATATCTACTCTCGTTTTAAAATGAAATAATCAAGGCAATACGATTCCATTTTGCAGTTAGGCAGATAATGGGCTTCGCGGGTGTAAATACAGGTTTTCCTGCCAATCAAAATGGAAAATTGGTGCGATGAGGCACCTAAAGACCATATATAGCGACTGGTGGGTATACGTATATCTACAATTAAAAGTACAATTGTCGAACATAATACTATTCCCAGTCATTTGGTAAAGGCCGGATATATATCATTCACATAATTATGTAAGACCGCACATCGCTCACCTTGTTGGCTAAATGATGTTTTATTGCTATTGTCATTCAGTCAGGTAAGGCGCGATCCTTCCGTAATGAAAAAAATGGCGAGGCATGTTCTGTTTCATTAATCAAGCTATGACTGTTTGTTGACATTTTAAAAATATAATTTCAGAAAAGATATTGATTTTAATTGTAGTTATTAGGTGTGAACGACACACTCTCCTCTAATTCACAGTGAGGAATTAAGTTTGTTATGACCGAATGAGAGAATCCCGATTAATATTTTTTTATGTTTATATTACTGCAAAATATCTGGGTATGCTATCTGGTAAAATCAAAGAAGAATGCCCCCAAGATATCATATAAGTTAATTCTGTAATAAAGGGTTGGACTCAGCTTGCATATGCCAGCACAGGGCACATACCGCCATCTGTTGGCTAGTTTACCTATTTTATAAGTGTTAGATCCAAAACCCCGGAGACATGTTATACTCAGTAAAGCCACACATGGGGAATTATATTTCATGCCAAGCTTCTACGGTTCATAGTTTCCCTCTCTTTTTAAAGCGCACGATTTCAACAGAAATGTTTTTTATTTGACAAATACTTATTATAACTGTTATTATGCCTTATTCTAGACTATGTTGTGCATTTTTTTGAAGCGTCAATTGCGCATGTATGCGTCAATTTGCAGGCAGTAGGCAACTGAGCCTATACGCGTGTTTCCGGACACATTATTTACATGCAGTGTAGGGTCCTTCACGAGTCAACACACAGCAGATAAACTTCGTCCACGACACTCCTTCATTTTTAAATATTATTCATCAAATGTTTATTTTACCGCGCTTACCGCCCAATACAAGAAAGCATGCTCTGGCAACGTTTTCCAACGTAGGATAAAGGTAAATCAATAAAGTGAACCCTTTTTTTAAAAATGGTTTACGCTTGAGCATGAATTAGCAAGCCGATGTTTTCATTTTTCATCTTTTTTGCGATAAGGTACGAATAAGGAAGGTCAGGGCCCTGTCGACAGACAGCGCTCGCTACGAAGGTACATGCTGGCGCAAGTTCATTAGACTAAGGACGAGGCTAAACTAAAAAGCTGATACTTAGCACGCGGCAATTATACAACAAATGTATTTAGAATAATGGTATATAAAATTCAAAAAATGTAACTAGTAACTTCTACGTGATATAACGATTGATGAACTTTTTAAAAGCTAGAAAAAAACGACACAACATGTGCGTCCGGCGCGGGAGTCGAACCCGGGTCAACTGCGTTGGAAGGCAGCTATGCTAACCGTTATACCAACCGACGCGCTGATAAGGAAGTAAATGCTGTATCTTCTCTAAGAGAATAAAGTACTGATCTAAGAAAGTAAGAAGAGCGTTTTGTCGTTTTATCGTTGTGATATCGTACTGCATCTATGATGTTATCTCTCCGATATGATATGAGTTATTGACTTTTCAAAAATATTTAACAGATGTCAGCTACTATAAGGATATAATGCAGTAAACAGTAGTGAATTTATGGCTGATGTTTATGATTATTTATGTTGCGCGATAGCAGAATAATAATAATTAACCATATAATTAAAAAAAATATATAAGAAAAAAAATTAAAAAAACCTAGTAACTTAATATATAAATAAATAAATAAATATATATATTTATTATATGTATATATATGCATAAATAAATAAAATATAATATATATATGTATTTATCAAGAGCTAATAATAAGGTAGATTATTAGCTCGTGGTATTATATGTTGTTTTACGACGGTATACATGTAGGAAACGACTCGTGAGAACGAGTTTTTGCGCTCGCAGAGTATATACCTCACACACAGGGCGATATGTGTGCGCATAGAAATAACATACACTTAATTCCCTGCAGTTTCTAGTGGCGTAAATGAGCACACACCGTAACGGTGGTTTATATAAACTAAGTTCTAATACTATATGTTAGCCATAATAACGAACTCTGGGCGTTAAAATTTTACATTCCACTCGGCGATTTGTACCGCGGATCAGCACGCCTTCCTATCCCACCTCCCGCATGCGCGCGCGAAGGCAATAGTGAAGTCAACCGCCTTGTAGACGATCCGAGGTATTACCCATAGAATAATAATAATAGAATAATATAAAGTCTCGCGTTAGACTGACACCCAGTTTCCACGCTAGAACCCCATTTATTAACAAAACGTAGCGACGCGGTACCAGTCTAGTTGTACGACGTGTCGCACCCCGAACGTTGACCTGCAGCGGAGGTGGAATGTAGGGCAGTGCCACCGTTGTCGTCGTCTGACCTGCACTCACTGCCGACACCCCCCCCGCCCCCAACACACACACGCACACGCGCACACACACACACACACACACACCCACACACACAACCACCACACACACAACCGCCTGCCTTGTCCTCCGCTGAAGGCGAAATAACGACGTCACCTGCGGTCGTCTGCCGCACATCACAGACAGACAACACAACACGGCGCAACACACGACACAACCCACCCCACACACACAGGCCGACACACACACACTACACACACACACACGACACACCAGACACACACACCACACACACGCACGCACGCACGCACTGACACACACACACCAGCACAGACACACAGCACTCGCACACACACACACACACATACAGAACCACACACAACGCGCGCGGCAGCGACGCAGACACACACACAAACGGCAGCACCCCCACACGCTACACACACACCACACCTCGAGCACGCACAGCACGCACACGCACGCACGCACCGCACGCACGCAACACCCACACACACGACACACACGCACACACGCGACGGCACACACACACACGCCGCCGGGGGCTCTGTCCAGCTGTTTACTATGTATGGGCCGGGGGGGGCGGTACGGCCGCGCCCGCCAACGCGCCTTCTCTAAATGCGGCCGGAAGGGTGGAGGTGAGGTGGGTACAGGGCTCGCGGACTCGTCGCGTTTTTAAAGAGCATGGCAGGTATAGAAAAGTGCTAAGCCGATCTGCCAAAGAGCTACGAGCGGGCGTGGCGGAATACTGGCGTGATATATTGTAGACTGGTTTAGGGGCGCGGAGAGGTTACGAGAAGAGAAAAGAGAGAGAGAGAGAGAGAGAGAGAAGACGTTATAATAATACGTGTTGATTGCGTGCGTGTACGTCATGCGGTGCGTTGCTTCGCGTCGCCAAATGAATCGTGTAACGACTCGTGAAGAGAAGAGAGGAGATGGAGAAGTAGAGAGAAGAGAGAGAGAAGAAATGAAGAGTAGAGAGAGAGAGAAGAGAGAGACGGGCGAGAAGAGAGAGACGAGAGAGGGGAAAAGAGAGAGAGTGAGAAAGAAAGAGAGAGAGAGATAGCGAGAGTAGAGAAGAGAGAGAGAGAGAGAGGAAGCGCGAGGGAGAGAGAGACGAGAGAGAGAGAGAGAGAGATGAGAGAGGAGAGAGAATGAGAGACGAGAGAGAGAGAACGAGAGAAGAGAGAGAGAAGAGAGAGAGAGAGAGCTAGAGATGAGGAGGAGAGAGCGAGCGAGAGAGAGAGGAAGAAGAGAGAGAGAAGGACGAGAGAGAGGAGAGGAGATAGGGAGATAGAGAGGGAGCGAGAGAGGAGCGAGAGAAGAGAGCGAGAGAGAGAGAGGAGGAGAGAGAGAGAGCGAGAGAGAGAGAGAGAAGAGAGAGAGAGAGAGAGAGAGAGAGAAATGGAGGAGGATGGTAGATTAGAGTAGAGAGAAAAGACGAGAAGAGAAGAGAGACGAAGAGGGAGAGGAGAGACCGAGAAGAAAAGACGAGAGAGAGGAGAGAGAAGAGAGAGAGCAGGAAGAGAGAGAGAGAGAGAAGAGAGAGAACAAGAAGAGAGAGAGAGAGAGCGAGAACGACGAGAGAGAGAGAGGCAGTGCTAGAAGAAGGGAGGACGAGAGAGAAGAGAGAAGAGAGAGACAGAGCGATGAGAGATAGAGAGCGAGAAGCAGGAAGAAGAGAGAGAGCAGAGAGAGAGGAGAGAGCGAGAGAAGAAGGAGAGACAGAAGAGAGAGAGAGAGATGAGAGAGAGAGAGAGAGAATAGAGCTAAGAGAGCCGAGGAAGAGGAGAGCGAGAGAAGAAGAGCGAGAGAGAGAAGAGAGAAGATTAGAGAGAGAGCAGAGAGGAGAGAGAGAGAAGAAGAGAGAGAGAGAGAGAGAAAGAGAGAGAGAGAGTGAGAAAAAAGAGAGAAAGAGAAAGAGGAGAGAGAGAGAAGAAGAAGAGAAAGGAGAGAGAGAGAAGAGAAAGAGCCAGAGAGAGAGAGGAAGAGAGAGAGAGAGAGAGAGAGAGAGAGAGGAAAGAGAGAGAGATGAGAGAGAGCGAGAGATAAAAGAAGAAAGAGAGAGAGGGAAGTGAATAGAGAGCAGAGAAGAGAGATGAGAGAGAATGAGAAAGAGAGGACGAGAGAGCGAGCAAGAGAGAGAAGAGAGAGAGAGATGAGAGAGAAGAGAGAGAGAGAGAGAGCGAGCAGGAGAGAGCCGAGACGAGAGAGTGATGTGAGGTAAACGAAAGAGTGAGCGAGCAAAAAAAAAAAAACTATATAAGACGAGAGAGAGAGCGGCAAGAGAAGGAGGGAAGGTGGGGGGCCGCAAGAGAGGAGGAGAGGGTGATGACAAGTGGAAACAGGAGATGGAAGGAACGCGGCGTAGAGAAGAGGAAGATAATAACAGATGTGCTAACAGTTAATTTCGATATAATATTATCAGAATCCCACTAAACGTCAAACGTCTGTTGATTCAATGACCACGAAGATCGTTATTTCGTATAAATCACAAAGGAAGCTTTAGTTTATTACTCTCCCATAAACATCGCTCTCATTCCAAATCGAAAACCGGTGCGTATAAACCAATCACAGTGGTGTTTAAATAAATTACTATATATATATATATACACCTATCACAAAATCCGACACATTTTATATGTACAATAAAGTGTTAAGCACTCCACACTACATGGCACATTACAAGCCACCTGTTTCTAGAACGAAACCCGTGGCCAAATTATAGCAAAAATGATTTCTTGAATTCGAATCCGAGATATAAATTGTTACAATCGGTTGGAATAATAATATTCCGCAAAGTTTCCGTACGGTACCAAAGGTTTCACTGAATTCGATAATGATGAATTGCGACTGCGCCAGACATGATAGATTATGTCTATTACAAAGCATTATACAAAGCTCCATCGACATCTCTATGCTTCCAAATCAGTAGTGTTTCATTACCTTGACGTCTATGACGCTCATTAAATGAGATCGATCGATCATTCAATCAATCAATCACTCAATGAATATACATTCGTATATATATATATAATAATATATATTGCACCTCGGTCCCTGTACATCCAGCCATCTCCACGCGCGATGTTTCTATGTGCTAGCCACTAGCTAGATCTTTTCGTCGTCCCCTTGTGTGTAGAGTGCAGTCGACTAGTAATTAGTGGAAACCTGAAGCCATAACACGGGGCAGCGACTTGATGTTGGATCGAATCCGTCGGCTATAGGAGCACAGGCCACAAGCAGGCTGTGCAGTAAAGCATCGACCATCTCAAAGTCGCGCAAAGGTCACAGATCCGGAGACAACATAGCCTGCTAGCCAGTTCTCCCGCCACAGTCTCCATCCAGCTATCTCACTACCTCACTATCTCTATCACTATCTCACTATCTCACTATCTCACTAACATAATGACCGACGGAACAGTTCTCCCGCGTCAGTGGCGCCCCCTCACGCCGCCGTCGCCGTCGTCGACTTGAGTTCTCCGTCGACGTGCACCGTCACCGTGGCGACGCCGTTGGCGACGATCGTGCGCGTCACCACCGTCTTACCGTCGATGAATCGCGTCGACGTCGACGTCCGCTTCGCGTTAGCGCCCCCTGCCGGCGCCCGCTCGCCCTTGAACCGTCGGCCGCCGACGATCCACTCGTCGTCGTCGAAGCAGAATCCGCAGAAGGGGTCGCCGCCGGCCCGGAAGAAACTCGGGAAATCTGCGCCACGCGTTGGCGCGCGGTGGCGCCCCCTGCCGCCGAACCTGGCGGCGTCGTGGCGACGCCGCGACGTCGGATCGGAGAGCATCTCGTAAGCCTCGGAGATCTGCTTGAAGCGAGCCTCGGCCACCGCCTCGCTCGCTCCGCCGCGGTTCTTGTCCGGGTGCCAGCGCAGCGCCATCTGGCGGTAGGCGCGTTTGATCTCCTCGTCCGTGGCGTCACGGCGCAGGCCGAGCACCTCGTAGCAATCCGGGATGGTCATAGCTCTGCTGCTGGTAGTGGTAGTGGTGGCAGCGGTCAGTTCACGTGGACAGTGGTTGCTTACGACTGACTGGTCGGAACTCCGAGATCGCAAAAGAAGTTCTCCTGGACGGATGTAGATTGAATGTTGGATTTCTCTCTCGGTTTCTGTCTCTCTCTTTCTCTCTCTCTCTGTGTCTCTTTGTCTCTCTCTCTCACTCTCTCTATCTGCCTCTCGATCTTTCTCGGTCTCTATCTACGCGCTATCGCAACCACAGCGGCTTCTTCCGTTCTCTCCCGGTTGGTGATCGAATATCGTGATACCACAACGACTGCGCTCTAACGCCTCCTAACGACCTTATATAAACCGCCAGACGCGTCGGTTCGTGACGTCAGCCGAGCCGACGAGAATAGTTGCAACGTCAGCGCTGCGCCGTGCCGACGAACAATAGAACGTGCCTGCGGGCACGGGTTCTTGTGTGATCTACAACCGGTGATAAAATCGCGGCGTGCTGTGGGGATGGGCCAAGGTCTTAGCCATGCGTGCGTGCGTGCGTACGCGCGTGTGTGTGTGTTTACGTGCGTGCGTGCGTGCGGGTGTGTCCGTGTGTTCGCAAGCTCGTGTGTGTGTGTCAATAAGGGGTGGGGCGGTCGTAGCGACCTCACATGACCTTTTTGCGAGAGGTTATGGCGAATCATATAGGATTAAAGCCGGTATTAGATTATCTAGGCTGTCTGAGCCGTTCAAGCCGTTACCCTCCCCACCCGACCTATATATACCTAGCATACCTATATATTATTTCGGCAATCTTTCTTCTTTCGACAGATATTGGGTATGCACAAACATACACCTAAGACAATTCATGCTACAGCGTATAGGGGACATTTAGGAAGCCATGCACTCTTATGTTATTAAAGAATCTGAGATACTGGCACATCTCAGCAAGTGTATTTCCAAAGTATTTCCATTTTATGGACATAATATCAGCACAATAGCATTTCTTTTAGCATATGCCGGCCATACCCGAACACTTATTTAAGCCAATATTACTGTATAGTGAAATTCGTGTGAACAATAACTCGGGGCCTTATCACAGCAATATATAGCGAAGGACATATATATCGCCATCTATTGGCTGATTTTAATGTTAAAAGTGTTACGTTAGACAGGGATACATTATAGGAGATCTTGGAGAATATTTGGATTTAATTTCAATTGTATAAGCTACTCCGATGAGTATATGCGCTCTATTTTAAAAGGATAATTTTAGCAAAATTACTATTTATTCGCTTATTAAAATCCCATTATTGTTACTTCAGCCAGAGCACACCACCCTATAGTTATTAAAGAGAGGCATCCGGATTTATTTTTTACGTCAAGCTACTGCGACGAATATCTACTCTCCGTTTTAAAATGATAATAATCATAGCAACACGATTCCATTTCATTAGGCAGATAATGGGCTTACGGGTGTAAACAGGTTTCCTGCCAATCAAATGGAAAATTTGGTGCGATGAGGCACCTAATGACCATTATAGCGACTGGTGGGTATACGATATCTACATTAAAAGTACAATTTCAACATAATACTATTCCAGTCATTTGGTAAAGGCCGGATATATACATGTGCACATATTATGTAGAACACATCGCCACCTGTTGGCTAAATGATGTTTTATTGCTATTGTCATTCAGTCAGGTAGGCCATCCTATCGGTAATTAAAAAAATGGGGGGCATGTTCTTTTCATATCAAGCTATCGACTGTTTGTTGATCATTTTAAAAATAGAATTTCAAAAAGATATGATTTTAATTGGTAGTTATTAGGTGTGAACGAACACAGCTCTCCTGCTATTCTACATGAGGAATTAATTTGTTATGACTAATGAGAGATTCCGATTAATATTTTTTATGTTATATTACTGCAATATCTGGGTATGCTATCTGTAAAATCAAAGAAGAATGTCAAGATAATATAAGTTAATTCTTGTAATAAAGGTTGGACATGCAGCTGCATATGCCACACCAAACTCCACGACAGATGGCGCTCTCACTCTGGCTCTACACTCTGGCTCTACATCATAGAGTTGTATAAATATACAACTAATATCTAACATATAATAACGGGGTCTAATATATAACTCTATGCTCTACATCTATATCCTGAGTGTGGGAAGGGGGCGCTGCATGCAGTTTGATGCCACACAGGGCACATACCGCCATCTGTTGGCTAGTTTACCTATTTATAAGTGTTAGATCAAACGAGCTTCTACGGTTCATAGTTTCCCTCTCTTTTAAGCGCACGATTTCAACAGAATGTTTTTTATTTGACAAATACTTATTATACCTGTTATTATACTTATTATACTAATTTGTGAATTTTTTTGAACGTCAATGCGCATGTATGCGTAATTTGCAGGCAGTAGCACGTGAGCCTATACGCGTGTTTCGACACATTATTTACACAGTAGGGTCCTGTCACGAGTCAACACCACATAACTCGTCCACGACACTCCTTCATTTTAAATATTATCTCACAAATGTTTATTTACCCCCAATTCAAAAGCATGCTCTGGCAACGTTTCCAACGTATGGATAAGGTAATCATAAAGTGAACCCTTTTTTTAAAAATGGTTTACCTTGAGCATGAAATTAGCAAGCCGATGTTTTCATTTTTCATCTTTTTTGCGAATAAGTACGAATAAGAAGGTCAGGGCCCTGTTACGCAGACGCGCTCGCTACAAGGGACATCTGGCGCAGTTCATATATCCATTGAGACAAGGACGAGGCAAACTAAAAAGCTGATATTCCACGCCGTTGGGATTCATAACTGACATTCCAGCTGATATTCATAACCCCAGCTGACATTCCAGCTGATATTCATAAGAAAATGTATTTAGAATAATGGTAATAAAATTTAAAAAAATGTAACTAGTACTTCCTACGTGATATATACGATTGATGAACTTTTAAAAGCTAGAAAAAAAGAAAAACATGTGCGTCGGCCGGGAGTCGAACCCGGGTCAACTGCTTGGAAGGCAGCTATGCTAACCGTTATACCACCGACGCGCTGATAAGGAAGAAAGTGCTGTATCTTCTCTAAGAGTAATAAAGTAACCGTATCTAAGAAAGTATAAGACGTTTGTCGTTGTGATATCTACTGCATCTATGATGTATATCTTCTACGATATGATATGAGTTATTGACTTTTCAAAAATATTGCAGGATGTCAGCTACTAAAGATATATCAGTAATAAGTAGTGATTTATGGTGATGTTTATGATTATTATGTTCGCGATAGCAATAATAATAAATTAACATAAATAAAAAAAAAATAAAAATAAAAAATTAAAAAAAATAAAAGTAAAACCTAGTAACTTTAATATAATAATAAAAAAAAAATATATATATATATTGTTTATATATGTATATATACATGCATAAATATATATAGGTATTATATACGTTGTTTTACGAACGGTATACATGTAGGAAACGACTCGTGAAACGAGTTTTGCGCTATCTGCGAGAGTATAGTAACCTCACACACAGGGCGATATGTGTGCGCATAGAAATAACATATCCACTTTAATTTCCCTGCAGGTTTCTATGGCGTGTGAGCACACACGTACGGGTTTATAACCTAGTTCTACTACTATTATGTTACCATAATAACGAACTCTGGGCGTTAAAATTTTACATCCATCTCGCGATTTTACCGCGGATGTCAGTCACGGTCCTTCTTTCCCACCTCTCCGCATGCGCGCGCGAAGGCAAGAGTGAAATAAACCGCCCTGCAGACGATCGAGGTATTACCTCATAAATAAATAATAAAATAGAATAACTATAAAGTCAGTCTGCGTTAACTGACACCCCAGTTCCACGCTAAGAACCCCATTTATTAACCAAAAACGTAGCGAACGCGTGTACTCAGTCTAAGCTGTTCGACGTGTTTCGTCACACCCGACGTTGCCGCAGCGAGGTGGGAATGTAGGGCAGTGCCACCGTTGTCGTCGTCGCCGGCACCTCACTGCCGACAGGACACACACACACACAACACACACACACACATCACACACACACAATTCACACACACACACAGGCACACACACACACACACGAACAAACCGCGCCTTGTCCCGCTGAGACGTAAACAAAACGGAACGCACTGAGGCGTCTCCGCACACACACACAGACACACACACGCGCTGCGCCGCACACACTACACACGATGTCGGGCACGCACGCGAACGCAACACAACTCACAAACACACATCACCACACACACACACACGCGACGCACGCACACACACAACACACACACAAACACACGACACACATCAACACGCACGCCGGGGGCGCTGCTCAGTGTTTACTATGGTACGGCCCGCCCCGCCACCGTTCTCTAAAATGGCGCGGAAGGGTGAGTGAGGTGGTAAACAGGCGCGGACTCGTCGCGTTTTAAAAAGCATGCAAGGTAAGACAAAATGTGCCTAAGCACCGTCAAGGCAAGAGCTAGAGACGGCGTGGCGAATATGGCGTATAATTGTAGACTTTTGTTTTAGGGGCGCGGACGAGTTACGAGAGAGAAACAGAGAGAGAGAGAGAGAAGAGAGAACGAGAGGAGGAGAGAGAGAGAGAGAGAGAGAAGAGAGAGGAGAGGAGAGGAGAGAGACGTTATAATAATACGTGTGACTGCGTGTGCGTGTAACGTCATGCCGGTCGTTGCTCGCGTCGCAAATTGAATCGTGTAACGACCGTGAAGAAGAGGAGAGAAGAAAGAGAGAGAGAGAGAGAAAAAGAGAGAGAGAAGAGAGAGAGAGAGAGAGAGAAGAGAGAGAGAGAGAGAGAGGGAAAGATGGAGAAGTGAGAAAGAAAGAGAGAGAGAGAGATAGAGAGAGAAGAGAGAGAGTGAGAGAGAGAGAGAGAGAGACAGAGTAGAGAAGAAGAAGAGAGAGAGAGAGAGAGAGATATGAGATAAATAGAGAGAGAGAGAGGAAGAGAGAGAGAGATAGAGAGAGAGAGCGGAGAGAGAGAGAGAGAGAGAGAAAAGAGAGAGAGAGAAGAGAAAGAGAGAATAAAGAGATGTAGAAAAAGAGAGAAAGAGAAGAGAGAGAGAAAAGAGAGAGACAGAAGAGAGAGAGGAAGAGAAGAGAGAAGAGAGAGAGAGAGAGAAAGAAGAGAGAGAGAGGCGGAGAGAAAAGAGAGAGGAAGTGATAGAGAGAGAGAGAGAGAGAGAGAGAGAGAGAGTAAAGAGAGAGAGAGAGAGAGAGAGAGAGAGACGAGAGAAGAGAGAGAGAGAGCGAGAGAGAGAGAGTGAGTGAGTAAGGAAGAGTGAGCGAGGGAAAGAAAAAAATATATATATAGAGAGAGAGAGAGAGAGAGAGAGAGAGTTGATGAGTAAGAAGAGTGAGGCAAACGAAAAAAAAAAAAAAATATATTAAATTTAGAAGAGAGAGAAGAGAGTGGCGCAGAGAAGGAGGAAAGGTG